GGGCAGCGCCGCCGCAGCCGCCGCCGCCGCTGCCTCCTGCCACCTGCCCCCCCCCCCGCCCTCCGCCCCGGGCAGCCCCGGATCGCTGTCATTGCGGAGTCCACACACTTTGGGGCTAAGCCGGTACCACCCCTACGGCAAGAGCCACTTATCCACAGCTGGGGGCCTGGCCATGCCGTCTCTCCCCACAGCCGGACCCTACTACTCGCCATATGCGCTGTACGGACAGAGACTAGCCTCAGCCTCGGCACTTGGATACCAGTAACTACAGCTCTTCCTCCCACCCGCTCCCTGACCCTCCCCCAGCCTCTTGGCCTGGCCGCTGCAACCTCCACTACTGCTTGTCCTGCCAGATGTCCCCGCCCGTGCCCTCCCCACTGGACTGTGTATTTATTTACTATAATGTTAGCTTACAAGCTGGGAATATAAGTGCATTAACGGCCCACACGAGTCAATGGTATGCAAAAAGTCTGTGTTTTCCCCAAATAATATTAATCACACAAGTAACTACATGCTCCCCATCCCACTTCCTTTATTTTTTCTTTTTCTTAGATATGTTTTAATTTGTTTTCCTTTTGCTTTTTTTTTTTTTTTTTTTTTTTTTTTTTTTTTTTGGTTTGGTCTTAGGGGAAGAAGGAGAGTTGGGGTTCTGGGGTTCTTCTCTTTGTTTTGTTCTCCCTTCCTGGGGAGTTTCTTGCATGCTTCTTAACCATTAAAACTACATTTCCCCCCTTTCCCTTCATTCCCTCATTTTCTTCCATTTGAGGTTCTGTTTTTACCTTTGTACCAGAAACAGAGAGGAGATATTTTTTGTAACGTATTTGGAGGGTGCGGGGAGGGGCCTTGGTGGCAGGAGGTCTTGCCTCTGTTGACCCAGAACTCTACTCTGTGACTTCTCCCTTGCAGCCCTCTCCTCCCAGGGTCCCTGGTCTTTGCCCTGGCCTCCCCCAAATTAGAGCCTTTCTTCCCTACCTTGCTCTGTGTATGGAGAGCCCTGAGAGAGGGACCCCAGTGGCCTTGGACAGAGCCCTCTGCTTCCAGACTCTTCCGACCCCAAACACTGCTCGCTGGGTAGGAAGGAGGGGAGTGGTCCTATAGGGCTCATCTTATTTAATTAAAAGTCCTAGAAGGCCTTGCCGGCATGAAACTTTGCTTTTTATATTTTGCAAAGTGCTTTTATAGTCATTGTTTTTCTCTCCATTATTGGGGCAGTGGTCCCTCTCCTGGCAGTGGGGGGTGGCGTCAGCAATCCTTGCTAGATCCCTCCAAAGCAGACCAGTGGCACTATCAGCGGGCAGTACAACCTTTTAGCTCCGTTGGGGGAAGGTTGGACGGTAAAGGAGCATACAGATCGCAATAGCCCCCCTTCATCCCTTCCCAGGCTTGTCCCAACAGATTCCCCAAAGTTGGGGACTTCCTTGGGCTCCCTCGGTGACTGGGATTGAAGACTTGGGTCCTGTGTCTTCTCCCCACACCGTCCCTTCTCTTATGCAGCATCGTGGGGAGGCTGCGGGGCCTCTCTGGGATGAATAGAGCTCTCCCTTGGTAAGACTTATTTTGTTAATAAATGAAATACTTGGCTATATTCACACCGTGGTGTGTTTCTCTCTTGCCTCACCCACCACCCCACTTCCAGATTCCCAAGCAGATGCCCTTCTTTTATTCTTGTTTAAAATACCTTACGGTTTCCTTCTCAGGTTTCTGGTCAAGGACAAGTTTAATGTCTTTCCTTGAGAAAAGGGGGAGAAAACAACTGCCAGCGCATTACAAATTACATAAAACCACCTTTATTTTTTTCCGCTTGGTTATTTACCTTCCAGCCTCACTTCAAAGGCCTTAACATTTCCTGGGGACAGGGTGGAGAGTGTGTAAATGTGGATTTTCCTCTGGACCTAGATTCGAGGTAAGAGGGGCTGTGAGGGAACCAGCACCCAGGGGCTCCAGCCAGGCAGCACAGTCCCAGGCCTAAGGGTGAGCAAAGACGACGTGCCTCTGGCGCCACCTGCTGGCGGGCAGCTCCTGGCGCCTCCCCCGACGGCACCGCAGGCGCTTCCCACTCTAAAGGCGAGGGCTTCCTCTTTGCTGACAAAGCCTTTATACACCTGAAACCGAAGGGTAAACGCACCTGCTGACGGGGGCGCTTCGCAAGGCTTGGAGGCTCCCTAATGCCCGCGCCGGGTAGCTCATCCCAGTTATCGCGCCCCCAGCGACTCCTCCACAGTGGGTGGGTTTTGCTGAGAAGTCGGGCGATTACTACGGACCTTGGAGTCACTCACTCTGGGTCCCTGTGTTCTTGATCTCGCACGACTGACACTGACTTCATCCTCGGGCAGGCGAGGGTGGGGTGCTGTTTATTAGGTTGGTGGGAGGAGGGGGGCACCTCCCACTGCGCGGGGAGTCCCGGAGGCCGGAGGAGAGGACGCGCGGCTGCGGGGGAAGGCGGGGCCTGAGCCACGTCCTCTCTGGGGCTGACTGGCTCCCGGGGCCGCCCGCCCGCCCGCCGAGGCCCCCGGCGCAGGTTGCAGGTTCCGGCTGGCGGACCCCTGGCGCCCAGCACGGCCGGCCGGCCGGGGCCACCTGTCGAGTGCACTTCACCTTGGCCTGCCTCGCCCCCTCCTGGCCGCACTCCGCGTCGGCACCGCGCGGCTTTGGGATCCGTTGCTGCTGTGGCGGTGTTTTGCGTTGCTTTTCCTGAGGCATGAGATGTATTGGGCAGTTCGTGCTCCACAAACTGTGCGCTTTTGAAACATCTGCAGACCCGAGGTCAAGTGCGGAAGGGTGGGAGGGGTGCTGGAGAATGGCAGCGCGGGCCTCGGCCTCACTGGGCGCCATCCCCTCCGTACTTGGCAGAACCTCGGCACGAGATGTTTTTGTAGAGTTTGGGGTTTGGGGGGAGGTTGCACCTGTATCTTTGTTTCTGGGAAAAATTCCTTCGTTAGTCAAGAGAACCTCGGCCTTCTTCTGCAGGAACTGTGGGTGCTGGACACCCTAAGACCCTAAGCGTGTCCCTGGAGAGGGACCAGGGCTGCGGGCATCACTGGCATCAGGGAAATGCTGACTGGCACTGGAGAAGTCACCCCACCACCACCACCGCCAGCTCAGGCTCCTCCTGGGGAATCGCTGTTACCGGATTTCTCAGAGTTCAAATTGGCCTGAATCTGTAAGAGACCAGAGTGTAGTGACTTGCTTTAATTTTCCTTTTTCTCTGTTGTGTTTGCTGTAGGTGGTTTCCCACCTTCCTTTTCTCTCAAGTCCCCCCTCTTTCCTTCAGTGCCTTTTTTTTGGTCCTTAAATGTGTTTTTATTGACTTCAGAGAGAGGAAGGGAGAGGGAGAGAGAGATTGAAACATCAATGATGAGAATCACTAATCGGCTGCCTCCTGCACACCCCCTACTGGGGATAGAGCCTGAAACCCAGGCCTGTGCCCTGATGGGAATCAAACTGCGACCTCCTGGTTCATGGGTGGATGCTCAACCACTGGGCTACACCAGCCCGGCTCCTTCAGTACCTTTTAAATTCCTATTAAAACTGCTGGAAATTGCTCCCTCTGCAGGGGGACTTAAACTTTCTCTTCCTTAAACTTTGTGGTCCTCAGTCACCAGCCCCCTCAGACACACAGCCCCCCCCCCCCCGCCGGCCCCCCAAGGACCATCCGCCTCCTCTTGTAGGGACCATAGGAAGGAAGACTCAGAAACTCCATTAGCAAACTTTCCATCGAGCAAAAGCAGCTTTTCTGTAGCTGCCCGGCTGACAGTGAGGTTGAGAAGGCAGGTTAGACACGCCTCAGACCAGAAAGGTGGCCCCAAATTCCATTGTGACCACAAAGGGTATAGGCATTATAGTCCAGAGTGTCCCTGTTCTCACCCTGAAAGGGGTGACATTCCCCACAAATGTGGCTGTTTTAATTAGCTGGCCGGGAGTTTGTTACTGTTAGTAGCTAAATTCTCATTAAACAAAGTTGCTGTTTTAATAGAGATAATACTCCCCACCGTTTAATTTACATAATTAATTCATCCAGCAACCCTTCTTTGAGCATCACCTCCACCTTCTTCTCATCTTAGTCCTCCTCCCCTTCTTCCTCCTCATCTCTCCCAGGCGCCAGAAGTGGGCCTGTGTTCCTAAGGCCCCCGGGAAGGGTGGAAGCCACAGAGCTGGAACTTGAGACGCTGGGCGTTCCTGGCTCCAGGTCACATTTTCACACCTCTTGCCTGGTTATTTTTGTGGCCTCGTGGGCAGCTGTGGGAGGAAGGGAGGAGAGAGAGGGGAAAGACTCCCCCTCAGATATAGGTTTGACACAAAGAGAATTTCATGACTTCATTTTTAACTTCACAATCATCCCCCCCCCACCCCCCACAAACCCACCTCCTAAGAAATCTGTAGCCCATGTGGGGGCTGAGGGGCCCATCACCACCTTTAGGCCATAACTGCCTGGTCCTACGCAGCAGCCTGTGATGCGTCTCTCAGTATCTGAACTCACTCCTTCCTAATGTATGTCTGTCTGGGTTACCATGGCCTTCGTCTGAAAATAGTCCTTTGGCTCTGGGCTTTATTAATCATTCTGTAGGGGAAGCTGCACTCCAGTTTCCTGTTTGATTTGATTTCATTCATCCTGTCTTTTTGTAAAATAGATGGTTGAGTGCATCTGATAATGTATGGTTTAATTTGGCGCACTATGGGTTTGAATTACCATTTTCATAATGTGCTGTGCATTAATGTGTTACATCATTTATAAAGAGGAATGTGCTGGGTTTCAAACTTTTCTCCTGAAAGCCAAAGTCACCTAAAAGAAACAAAGCCAAGTCACACCCACCCATCTTCTTACCTCACTACCAGAGACACTCCTGCCCCCGCCCCCACCCCGTGAAATCTGCCAAAGCTCATAAAACCCAACATGAGGCTTTTGTGTTCACATAATGCAGGTGGGTGTCAAGGTTTGGGGGGAACTTGCACATGGCTGCCCAGGAGCCATCAATGGCCACACAAAGCTTCCCCTCATTATTACATAACAACAGCTTTGCAGCCAGCACCCTTTACAGAGACCTCCAGTGGACGGCTCTCCCTCAACCCTAATCCCAGCACTCCCTCCCCAATAGCTGTAATAACACCAGCTGTCTGTTACTCAAACTCTGACTGAGGAGGAAAAAGCACTGATTATCCAAATACAGTCATTAAAGGGGAAATGTGTTTTTAGGACTGTCAGAGTGATTAATGAGGGCTAGCCGTCTTTGCAAATGCACTTGTTTAGTCTAACTGGCAGCTTCTATTTTCCTATTGATTTATTGCAGCCGTTGCCGGGCCGTGGTGTGTGCGAAGTCAGGGCACTTCACAACTGCGCCCTGTTTAAACAGGAAAAGCATGCACCATTTTGTCCGGGAGGGAGAGAGCAGCCCAAAGTCTCTGCCTTCAGTTCAATCTCCAGGGGCCCCGACCAACAAAGAAGACATTAAAAACCTGCAGCCCAGAGAGGGAAGGAAACTGCCTCCCCTGGGTCATCCCCAGTCACTCAGTTCCAAGGTCAGTGGGGACGCACCATGGCGCCTGGACAAAGCCTGCCCTATTGTGACACTCAGTGTGCCCACATTTTCTCCTCCAGTCCCCCAAACCACCTGTCAGCCCCTGCACCCAAGCACAGGAAAGGCATCCAGCAGAGGGGGAGGCAGGGGAGGGGGCTGATGGGGCAAGGCCAGGCAAAACCAGAAAACCCAGGCAACGCCCCTGGTCCCGGGGTGGGAACAAGGTCAGGGGCTTTGCAGGAAATTGATTGAGCCCAGTGGGTGATTTCAACTTTTAAAAAAGAGGTGGGGGGACCACAAGAGTGATAGCTACTTCTTTCCACTTGTACGGTTTATGTTTTGACAAATGATGTATCTAATGACCAAAATAGAGAAATGGGCAGCTTGGAAATAGAGCCCCAGTATTTGGGATTACAGTCCAGGCGGTCAATCGTCCCAGCAAATAGAATGTACAGAATTCCCGTTACATGCCCAGCACAATGCTGGATGCCATGAGTCAGAAGAAAATTCAGACCAAATTCCTGCCCATTTTTCTTGGGGGAGACAAGACATACATACCCATGAGACAGGGAGCAAGAGAGCATTCTATATAACTGCATTTATGCTGGTCTGATAAAGTGCTAAATCCTTCTGTGCAGACCATGGAGAACAGGACAGGATATAATAAGGTGCTACTTGTGCAGATCAGATGGTCCAGCTGCAGGAGCTGGAGGGGGTGGGGGCTAACATATTGGGGCTGATGTTGGGGACCTTCCCATGGGAGCTCCAGTCTGTTGGGAGGCTCCCCCATTTCCTCCCAGACTGGAAAGATGGATGAGGCCTTCATTCCACAGTGGTGAGAGGGCTGGAACTTCGAGCCCCTGAGCCCATAATTTTCATTGCTCAAGCAGATCAAGGAACAGGCTTCACTAATGTTGTAAACAACACATCTGAATTTTCTTCCACCCGCCCTCTCCAGGCAGCTGCACCTTCCACAGAACGTTCCAGGCATGGAAATGGTTTGTACTTCTTCCTAAACAAAGTGCCTTTCCAAGTTCTCCCAGGGTGGGGGCGTATCACCAGCATTATTAACACTT